ACTTGTTAAATCGAATAAAACCAGAGAAACTGGGGATTTTCAAAACACAAAGTCGTACATAAATGGTAATTTTTACCATAATATAATAATAATAATAATAATAATAATAATAATAATAATAGTAAATAATAAATGTATACTGACAGTAAAATGATTGGCAACCGTGGTAAATATAAGCAAATAAGGCTGTGGAAAAACTGCATTGTTAATCCAAATAAAATCATATTCATATTCATTATTCATTTTTCTAAATAAGCAGGTGCGGTCATGTTTACAGTTCCCTTATTATTTTAAAAAGCAATCTATGCAATCGCAAATTTCATTTAAGAGTAAAATATTGCCCCAAAAAAATTTTGCAATAAGCTCATTTGGTCATGTGCTGAAGCTCTTTATTTTAAAGAATAATTTTTAGTTTTTTGCTCAAAAAACTGCTGAAAGTTTGCTAATACTAAATGGAATATGCATTATTCATTTGATCAAAACAGAAAAAATGTGTGCAAAATTATACTGGTGCAAAGTTAATGTGTATATATTTTTTTAATTTATTTATTTTGACAGAAAAGCTACATTTTTAATTCCTCCAGGCTTCAGTGTCACATAAAATCATTCAGAAATCCTTTAATAATGTAATATAAGTTGGAAAAGCATCGAAAATGCAACACTGGCCCCTTAATCTAGCCCATCATTGTCTCACACTGCCCCCATGCTGTCAGCCTATGATTATTAATGCTCTAAAAACACCCGCTGCTTGTATCAGAACACATCAAGATGAGTCAAACCTGTGAGTGGTCTGTCAACAGGATAAGGCCCTTCACCACATTGATAGGATCTCCGGACATGGAGAACATCTTGGACATCAGATCACTGTAGCCCTTGAAGAAGGTGACAGGACGGAGCTGCACATCGAACAGCAGAGCGGACATTCCTGCAAAAGACTCCAGCTCTTCTTCTCCTTCATCCGGCGTGGCTGCGATCAGAGACTCCAGACCCTGCGCTTCAATCGTCACCTGGAAAACAGCACAGGTGAATGTCAGTCAGGTATGTTTATGGGATATGCTGGAGGACACTGGGTGGTGGTAATATTGACAGTACCTGCAGGCCATGAAGGAGCGCGTTGTTGCTCTGACCGTAAATGTTCATGTTGCTTCTCCTCAATACTCCTGAGCCAGAGTACAGGATGTCCAAATTGTAGGTGCAGGTGACATCCACGGTTTCTGTTATATAATACATATAAGAAATCTGTCACCACACACATTAAAAATTATTATTTAAAAAAAAAAAATATATATATATATATATATATATATATATATAATATATAAATATTTAAAGTTCTCATTACACATTAAAAGTGTATTAACAATGTATGCGTTGATGCTCTATTTAATATACAAATTCATTTTAATTATTTTCTAATAAGCTCCTAACCAAATGAATACTACATTTTAGAGTGTGACAGGTTTACAATTCAGCATACAACAAATTTATTTTAATGACAAATGTATAATCATTATATATATTGTGGAAAGATTGGTTAAACTAGATACAAAAATGATCTTAGACGATGTTTGACGCCATCATTTATTTCATTTTAAAATAAAAGCTGTCTATTGAGATGTGGTGGAGTTGACATTTTTCAGTTCACGATAGAAAAAAAGTTTCTCTTCTTATCTAAGTTTGTCCTCTTACAGATCTTAAAACTAGACAAATTGTTTAAACTTACGAGGCAATGTTACGTTCATTTTAACGTTACGTTAAGTTTTTTGACTCAACTTCAAAGACTAAAAGTGCCCGTAGTTAAAGAATGGCCCATATCTATTATTAAGAGTTGCTTTTCTTAGTTTTTGCTAGATCAGAAAAAAGTAAATAAACAAATATTGGTAAAGTTAGAAACCCCATATATTTTCTCAAACATCAGACTTCAAACATAAATATAACTCTTTATTTATTTTCTTCAAAAATAGTGTTTGACAAAACAGTTGCTTTTTGTCAACTACCTATATAGGCTTTTACAAATGCTCCCAAAGATATTTTGAGGTCACATAGGCCTCACTTACACTGCCAGTTAAATGTGACCCAATTCTAATTCTTTGCTCATTTGTGACACATTTTGGATCTGTTCTTCGACCGTGTCGAAAAAAACCTGCATGCATTCGGATATTCGGAGATCGGTTTCAGGCCTGCTTTATATGTGGAAATAAATCTGATATGTGACAATGTGACCATCATGTAAACAGGCAGATTGGATTTATTGAGGAATTCCGTTTTGTATCTCATTAAACTTGTGACAATTTGGTACTTCTCCACGCTTTAATGATGTAGAAGGAAGAGTGTGTGTGTGCTCATCCTAAAATGTTGGACCCACTGCTCCTCATTAAAGGCCGCCCCAATTTGCTCCCACTAGACCTGAGATCTCTCTCGTACACACAAATTCCTCTGAATGGTGGAGGACACTATATATAAACCATCGACGCAAGCTGCAATGATGGCCTATTCCCTCCTCCTCCTCAAAATCATTTAAAAGTTGGCGACCTTCGCATATTTTGCAGAGCTAAAAGCAAGACGTTCCATTGTCGTTAGTGTGGCAAAGATGCTAGAACCCACCTTTATGCATGCGCAATGCTGTAAATTGCATGTCATGTGAACACATTAATCGGATATGGGTCACAATCAGGGCCGGAGTGGGACTCCTTTTCAGCCTTGGAGTTTCAAGACCTAGACCGGCCAATCAGTTCACGACTGACTATAATAAAATAGTGTCATTAGAAACTGAATTTGAAATGACCTTATCACGTTTTTTTCAAGGACACAGCTGCTTTAGAACTTCAAATGTTTTTATATGAGAACTTTAAAGGGTAGCTAAATCTTCAACTCTATTCTTTAAAACATCACAATGTCCTTTCCTGCAATATCTGAATATATATTCTGTGCTAAATTCTTTATAGATATCCAGTCCTTTGTAACAGAGGTCACACAAAAAAATTTAATATGTACACCTACATAAGTAACCCAAACATAATTATATGTCTTAACACTAAAAATGAAAAAAAAGTAAAAAAATTACTCAGGAGGGGCTCAAACTCGAGTCGGCGGTGTTGTAACGCAACATGCTAATCACTGGACCACAATGGCGCTTCTATGCAGGTGAGTTTGGAATTAAAAAAACTGTTATTCTCAAGACTCTTTTAACCACAGTATTACTTTATATTGATGGTTTAATCTTTTTCTCACCTTTTTAGATTTGTGATCAAGTTATGTCAGATTTATTAATGTAGTGAATTATCTTGTTTTCATTGAGCAGGTGTATTATTCATTCATATTAATTATTCGAATTCTTATATTCAGTTATGTGGCCTGTTTGAGTTTGAATGATATTTACGTCATCATTAACCTTCAGGCTGCATTTTGCTCAGGGGAGTTGCTAGAAAATAAATAAAAAGAGCGGAGCTGCGGCAAAATATTGAATAAAAAGAGTGAGGCTATGGTCAAATAAATAAATAATTTAAAAAGTGCGACCTAGGAGAGTGCAAGCAGCTAGGGACACTGGCCCCCGCGGCCAAAAAATGAACCGGCCCTTTGGAAATTTTGCCGGTCCTCCCGATTAGCCAATCTGGGCCTGGTCGCAATTAAAGGAACGTGTAAACGGACTGGCAAAAAAAAAAATAAATAAATAAAATTCAGATATAGGCAACAAATCAGAATTGGGCGTCAAGACCTGACAGTGTAAACGTGGCCATAGATTCAGTTTCAGCTCCATATGTGACCAAAATGGTTGCAAATTTATTGAGCTCACTTACCTGCCATGAAGCCTGAATAAGCAGAGGACGATCCGGTCTTCGAGAATCTGTCATAATTATGGGAAATCATGTCCTTCATAACTTGCCGTACCAATTTACTGCAAACCAGACATACTGTGTGAGTTTAATATAAAAGTGCCACATTACAATCGATAACCATAAAGAACAAACTTTTGGTTGATTCGGACTACAGAGATCGTGACTCACTAGGCTGGCATCTGGAAGCGCAGGACGTCCTGGATTTTTGACAGCATGTATTTGTTCATCTCATGTGGCAGGTGTCCGATGGAGAGCAGCAGGTTCTTCACCTCCATGTAAGACGGATTACTGCTCATAATCACATCGGCTGCAGCCGCACGCACGTTCTTCTCGTAGATGCGCTGGTTTTGATGGTAGATGCGGTTCAAGGCTTTTTTCACCTGTGGACGGAGAGTGTTAATTGTTTTGAAGAATCGCTTTAGATGAGCTGATGTTGGATTTGTGATGTACCTCTGCTGTGATGAGCGCAGGGTCGTATCTCTGGAGCGCTGTGATGGCGATGGTGCTGTATGCTCCGACCTCAGATTCGGCATATTTGGCTAAAACAGGAATGCCTTCTGGCAGAAGAGCGTTTTTCAGTGCTAACAGGTACATCTGAACCTCAGACTCCTCCTGAGTGCTGTCAGGCCCTGCTAACAGCAGCTCTTTCACCTTCAGCACAGCCTGTGCAAAGAAAATCCCATCAGAAACACAATCAATCAGCTTGAATTGATGAAAGTTATGGTAAATAATACTTTTTCTGATTTTGATTGTAATGCAATAATGTGCACATTTTGTAAAGCTGCTTTGAAACAGTTACTATTGTGAAAAGTGCTATACAAATAAACCTGACTTAAGTTGAATTTAATTGTGGCTGCATGGTGGCTCAGTGGTTAGCACTGTCTCATCACAGCAAGAAGGTCGCCGAGTCCTGACTGGGCCAGATGGCATTTCTGTGTATAGTTTGCATGTTTTCCCAGTGTTGGTGTAGGTTTCCTCCGGGTGCTCCGGTTTTCCCCATAGTCCAAAGACATGCGCTATAGGTGAATTGAATAATCTAAACTGGCTGTAGTGTATGAGTCTGTGTGAGAGTGTATGGGTGTTTCCCAGTGATAGGTTGCAGCTGGATGTGAAATATATGCCAGAATAGTTGGCGGTTTATTCCACTGTGGCTACCCCTGATAAATAAGGGACCAAGCCAAAATAAAATGAATGAACGAATGAATGAATTCACTTAAAGGGATAGTTCACCCAACAAATGAACTCAGCGGTTACGCACACTCAAGTGGTTCTAAATCTCGATGAATTTAATTTCTTCAGAAAGAAAACAAGAGATTCTGAAGAATGTTGTGAAAAAGCAGTTGTTGACTTCCATAGTTGAAACAGAAAAAAATGCTATGGAGGTCAGTGGATGTTTTTTTTCCCCAGTATTCTTCAGATTATATTGTATTGTGCTCAATAGAAGAAAGAAACAACAAGTGGAGGATGGGTAAGTGATGACATGGGCTGTTTCTCAATATGTGTTCTTCTGCGATTTTGTGTTCTCGTGTAACGTCATCATCAACCTCCAAAGTTCAGTTCCAAAAATGAAGACCGCAAGAACGGAGGATGGGTAAAAGTTCATAAATAAATAAGTGTATGTAGTAGAGAATTATGACAGTAAATTTGATCTTTTTTGTAGTTTGAAATGCGAAAGAGCTTTTAAAAGACCTTTGCTTTAATTTTAAATAACTGTATTAAGAGCTTTTTTATATTTTTTCCAAAAAAACTGAATGGTATTGAAAGCTATCGCTATTTCTAATCACATTACATAACATTAATGTTTTTTTTAGCAACTCTGGGATATTTTATCCTAGAATTGCAACAGAAAGCATATAAAATTTAGATTTTTTAAATAAATGATTGGTTAATATAATAGGATAGGATAATATTTATGATAATATTGTAAATGTGTGAATCTGTTTTGTAGTTCTGATTTTAGATATATGAATCATACTTGAATGAGTTTGAGAAATTAAAAACTGCAATTACACCAATAGAAATTAAAAATAATATAAATATTAATAAATAAGAATAATAATAAAGGGAAGCCGAAAAGAAAATGAATGAATGAATGAATGAATGAATGAATGAATGAATGAATGAATGAATGAATGAATGATAATAATCAGATGTGTGAAGAGACTCACTGGTAGATCACAAGCTCCTTTCAGACAGAGTTTCCTGAGCAAAGCTCCCATGATGATCACAACTGACTCCTTAATCTCTGTGCTGCCGATCTTTCCTTGAGACACTTCCTACAATGGAGCAAAGATGTTGTAGTAATAAAGGAAATAAGTCAAAGAATAATTCAAGAAAATAGTTTAAAAATGAATTGATTTATGTAATATTTACTTGGAAACAATACTTTTTACTGAAATACTGCTTGTGAATTAAAAATTAAATTGCAATGAATGGTATGAAAATACAAAGTACAAATATTAGCATGGGTACATTTAAAACAACAACAACATATTCCCTCAGTAATGTGTGTTTTATTTACAACATTGCAAACATTTTGCTTAGTGTAGGTTGTATGTTAAACTAACACATTACTGCTATAATGTGTCTTCTTAAGCAATGTTGTGGAGAAAATAATATATTTCAATATGAAAGCCTTTTTTTAAAGTAGCTAAATATGTTACTCAGTTACTTTTAAAGGAAAGTAATGAAGTAATTAGCTTCTTTTTTAAACAGTAAGATGGTCTTAAAATTGTAATATATATTCCATATTTAACCCAACACTGTTTTTAAGGCTCTTAGTCTTGTTGTAGAGACTCTAATTTCAGATGTAAGTGCAGTAATGCAGTGATCTTACCAGCAGGGATTGAAGCATGGACTCTGTAGGATGGGAGGCAAAGCCACATGCATACAGAAAGCGCTCCTGCAGAATCAAGCCGTCTTTCTTACTGAAGTCCAAGAACTCCAGAATTGCTGAGAGAGAAGATGGAGTCTGGGCTGATGTTACTGCATCCACCAGCTGAGGTCTGCAAACACGTCATTATAGTAAATCATGTGTTTAAAGTTAAATATAGTTGATGTAGTCGACTAATTTTGTCACTAGCTATTAAAAGAGTAGCATGACTGTATATCACTAATCACAGTGTATAAATAAGAAAGAGGGAGACGCGGTGATTAGTTTGGTCTTACAGTGCCGTCTTGCTGCAGTTTTGCAGTACAGTCAGAATCTCAGACTTGCTGGATTTGCGCAGGCTGTGTACGAGCGTCAGGAAGCTGCGCGGTGCTTCTGCTTTAGAGAGTGAGTTCGGCTCCAGCTGAGACCTCACTGCCTTCCAGGTTTCCATCAGCTAATGCACACCACAACAAAGCAACACATTAGGAATATTGCAACAATTAGCAGATTTATTTGTGCAACCACAGTAGCTTACATTGGGGCATCCCTTGCATTTTGGTTTAGTTTTCTCCACTATGACTCCAACAGACAGGAATTTGTCATCCAGAGCCTTCACTACTCCTGCAACGTCTTTTCCCGCCACTTCTGCGGGTCCGGCCTCAATCGCTTTGAGGGTCAGTGACTGCCTGAGGGAAATGAGATAGTGGTTTAGTTTGGTTCATTTATTTACTCATTCTGTTAATCTGTCTTGATTATTAGTTTTATTATTTTTTGCATACCTGGATAAGACTTTAGTTGCAGCTTTATGACGAGCATTGATGGACAAAACGTGTGTTTCTTTAGCATCGGCAGACTTAATGATACCATTCTCCAGAGTTATGACCGTTTCAGCAGCACACTTCCCGCTGATGCCCAGAACCTGGAGCAAAGGAGAGGAAATGTGAATAAAAACTGCAGACTGGCATGTAAATGCCCAGCAGGCACACAACGTCATAAGACGTTAATATTAGGTTAGATTTAGGTTGTGATGTCTGGTGACCAAAATTCAATGTCTAGCCAGCGTCTAATGACAACATTATTTTGATCTTCAATAACGACATCAAATGATTTTGATATTTGGTTGATTTTAGGTTGTTGAAAAGTGACCAAAATCCAAAGTCGAAGCAACTTCTTAAACCAGCATCATACTGATGTCAAATACTGATGTTTTTCGTCAGGTATGGCAACCAAAATCCAGCGTCTGATAGACATCATAGTTGTAACGTCCACACAACGTCAAGCTGTAACATCATTAGACGTCAATATTTGGTGGATTTTTAGGTTGGATGTTGGACACTGACATCTGTCTGATGTCAACCCGATTTTCATTTCCAAACAAAATACAACGCTCGCACAATGTTGGGGAACAACATCAATCTGACATCATATTGACGTCCTGTGCCTGCTGGGTGAGGTGAGATGAGAACATTTGTTTTGGTCTTACTGGACTGTGAGTAGTGAATCCCGTCTCTTGAGATTTGCAAGTTTCCAAGTGTTTTGTGCGGATCACCTGATGTTTGTTAACTTTGTACTCAACCAGACATTTCCCTGAAGCATCAGCCTATAGATTACAAAAGAAGTATTTAGCGTACAGTAGAAAATCAAACTTCAGAGGAGAATTTCAATTGCTGGTCTTTACCTCTGACATCTTTCCGGACTTAAGCTGCATCATTAGCATACTGGCCACACCCCTCTTCAGGTTTTTGACAGTAGCAGGCTCCGCTTTTTGGGCATAGAGGCTTCTGATCTAAATGACAAGCAAAAGAACACAAAAGTCAAATCACCATGGAAAACATTTAAAAGTTACAAACTTAACTGATAAAAAAACAGTGTTTCTTACCTTGCCCATCTTCCACAGCACCAAGAAGGGCCTCTGAAGTGCCTCAAGCCTGACTTTACCCAGAATGCTTTCTGCTGAGCTGCCATGGAAGATGTTGTTTTTGCGGGAGTGCTTTCCAGCACTTTCAACTTGAATATTTGAAATCTGAGAACAGGACAGTGGGATGTGATTTACACCAGGGATATTTTGTTTACTAAAACTAAAACTATTTAAAAAAAACAAACATTTTTTGTTACTTGAAATATAATATTTTTAAAAAAGTATTAAAATAACTAAATAAAAAAACTAAAGAGTTAAACCTGATGACAAACTAATACAAATGACAAAAACACAAAATTAATGGTATGTCAATCATAGTTATTTGCACACTACACTTTAAAAAATGCGGGATTCCACACATCGATTTGTGCTGGGACAAGAGTTATGATGGTGGGAATTAAGTTAACTTACTAGTTTTTACAAATTCAAGTGGATTGAACCTAAAACAATTAAGGTGAATATCAGGATGAAAAACACACTACAATTTAAATCAAGTACTTAACATGTGCTTTGAAATGTTACAAAATATAGATTAAAAAATCTAACAAAATATCAAATCAAATCTCTTTTGTTGTCACAGCAGCACATGTACTATGAGTGAAAAGCTTAGATATCCAAACTCATTATTTAGTAATTATGTATTTTCTTTTTATTTCAGTTTTATTTAGCTACAAAATTTTACAGCACAAGTGACTTAAAATATACTTTGAAAATAGTAAATATATATATATATATATATAAAAAAAGTTACTTTTTGACTTTAAAGTGTCTTAAACATGCACTAAGCAATATCTGAAAAACACTATTGACCATAGTCTCAGACCAAGACACAGCAGAGCAGAGGCACCTCTGACAACCTTTCACGGAAGGGGAGGGACGGTTGATGCGGATGAAAGTGAAGACCAGGGGGTGAGCAGCAGAGACTAATCAGTAATAAGGGGCGTGGCTTGTTTCTCTAGCGGAGATATACCAATACAATTTTATGGCAGTTCGTAACTTTTTGATCTATTGGTTAATTTGTATCAATTGGTACAATCTCATTTGTTCAATTTAGCACAATCTATTACTAATTTAGACTGAACTTGTTCAAATTTGTACAAATTAATTACTAAACTGACAAAACATAAAACAGTTACCAGTGAGATCTGAGTTTCTGTTTTAACGGAGAGAAGATTTCTTCAACACATTTCTAAACATAATAGTTTTAATAACTCATTTCTTATAACTGATTTATTTAATCTTTGTCATGACAACAAAAATAATATTTGTCTAGATATTTTTCAAGACACTTCTATACAGCTTTAAGTGACATTTCAAAGCTTAACTATGTTAATTAGGTTAACTAGGCAGGTTAGGGAAATTAGGCAAGTTATTGTATAACGATTGTTTCTTCTGTAGGCTATCGAAAAAAAATTCCTTAAAAGGGGCTAATAATTTTGACCTTAAAATGGTGTTTAAAAAATTAAAAACTACTTTTATTGTAGCCAAAATAAAACAAATAAGACTTTTTCCAGAAGAATAAATATTATCAGACATACTGTGAACATTTCCTTGCTCTGTTAAACATTATTTGGGAAATATTTGAAAAAAGAAAAATACTAACAGGAGGGCTAACAGTTCTGACTTAAACTGTAAATAAGAGGCAAGGTCTTGTTGGATGTGTGTTTGTTTTGGTGCTTTCAAATGCCAACATTGTTTGGCAAAATTTACTTAAGGCATCTTGAAGTGTGTAAAGTGGCCTTTTTTTGTTATCCCTCTTGTCCCTTTACCTTTACTTGCAGCAGCTGCTCGTCCTGGATCTCAGGGTTCCTCCAGGCCAGGTTGATGTCCACATCACTGCTAATCCTGAATCCAACATTGCCTCCAGGGGATCCCGTCGGCCGGTTCAGCCCGACCTCAGTGCTGTAGCTGTATCTGTAGAGTTTGCCGTTATCCAGCCGAGGTCCAGCACCTGAGAAAACACACAAATGTCATGCTGTGACACTTTCTGGATCTTCTGATCTCAGGTCAGTGGCATGTAAGACACAGCTGGACTACAGCAAGAGAGGAATGTGAGAGAAGACAGACAGGAAACATCTCAAAGCACAGACTTTAACCCTAAATTCAATCCTCTCTCTGTTTTAATCCACAGGGTTTTGCATTCAAACTCGTATAATTTGATCAAGAGAGCGAGCAAAGCAATTCAGAGTAAGTCCACAGCCTTTCACAGAAGTAAAAACAGAAGGGAAAGAATGTTGTCCTATCTGTAATTGTAGGTGGGTCTCAGATAACGGTGTACTATGAGCTATTAATCCTCAGTTATCTGTAATCATCATATATACATAGATCATATTTTTTTTAGCTTCTTATGATGAAACATCATAAGTTGTTTATGATGTGAACAACTTAACCTTGAGTCTTAAAAAGATTCAGACAGTAGAGTCTGTGATGTGTTTGAAGTTACATTTGTGGGACTCAAGGTCATATGGAAGTTAATGGACAAAACACTGAATAAACCTGTTTAAAATTGTCAAAAAACACACAGCAATTTAGTGCTTCAATAGTTTATATAGCTTATATGTTTGTTTCATTCAAATTTAATTGTAAGTTTAGGGGCCAAACACTAAATAAATTAGTCTATAATGTTGGCCAATAAACACATTGTGATATTAATGCAACATTAAATGTATTAATGTTTTAAATAGAGTGATGTAATCAATGCAATTTGTGAGTTTAGGGGCAAAAACACTGAATAAATCAGTTTTAAAAGGTGCCATAATATGCTTTAATATTTTATTGTAAATCAATGCAGTTGGTGAATTTAAAAACAAAATATACTAAATAAAATGGTATACGAGGAAAAATACAACTGGTGATTTAATCCCCTGTACAGTTTATTTATTTCTAAATATGTGGTTTTAGCATTGCTGAGGCAATGTTTTGTTTTAGGGATTTTTAGATTAGTCAAATTTGCAAGAACAACTTGTGATCTATGGAGCAAAAACACAATAAATCTGTATTAAATGTGTAATGATACAAATGGATATTTAATGGACTGTATGTTGTCTAAATATGTGGTTTTAAGGTTATAAAATGGTCATAAAATTATCTCTTTAAAATGAGATCACTTTGTTCGTTGACAGCACAGTACACTCCTGTCCTAAAAACACTGACGTGTCACTTTCTGATTGCATCACAACTTCTGATACAGAGATTATGCCCTGATTTTACCTCCTAAAACAAATAAATGCTTTTAAATCTACGTTCTATTTGAAATCTTTGGCATTAATTATAACAACAAGATACATACAAAAAAAGAAAAGATTTCAACAATCATACAGATAATGATTAAATGATGAGCACACATGATAAATCTGGGCACTGAATGAATGAAAGGTGTGACTAACCTCATGATTATTAAATGCTCTCCAAAAAATAATGTCCTGTATATGTACTCACCCTTGAACTAATGTAACAACAACAACAACAAATTAATGATCAGTTTTTATAAAAATATATACATACATAAATTATAACAGAGATTTAGGCAAGCAGCATGAAAGGTGTGACTAACTTCATGATTACTAAATGCTCTCCAGAAGAAAATAATATCCTGTATAACATTACTTTCTCTTTCTCACCCTTAAACTAATGTAACAATTACAACACATTAAACCTCAGTTTGAAAACAATATTAGAACAGAGATTTAAGCAAGCAGAAAGCACAAATAGTCTGAAGTAAACTTAAAGGGATATTTTCGAATCTTCAGACTTCCTTAAATTGACTCACCAAGAGCTGAGGTGCAAAGAACGGCGGTGACGCACAGCAGAAGTCCGGCAACCGGCATCATGTTTGGGGTCTGCGGGTCAGAGAGATGGAGACTACCTGATCCCTCAGCTCTCTCACTCACTCTCTCTGTTTATCTGGATTCAAGGGCAGACTCCAAACTCCACGCTCCGGTACTAAGTGCGAGATAACGGCTAATAATTAACCGGCAGAGTTTGTGAGATTTGGTGAATGAACGGCTGTGGTTTTTGTGCGGCCGCGGCGGCGCGCATCAATCAGCGCTATGAAGGCGCGCGCATCGTTTCTCTTTCATTCACGGTGATCAAACGCTCATGACAGGATTAGGCCGTTCATTCGGTTTTGCTCAAACCCACGATAATTCCATTATGTAATTTACTGCTATATGATGGTAGATTGTTTAAATAAGAATGTTCAAGCTCAAGTGGAGTTAAATCTGAATTTATAGAAAGTATTTTTAAAGCTCGTCAAACGAACTCTTTCGATGCGCGCGAAAAAAACCTTTATACATTTACTACTATATGTATTTTTAAGTTTCGTATCATTTTTGATCGACGTTTTAGTATTTCTATTGAAATAATTAGCTGTTTCCTCACACAAGAAGGTCGCTGGTTCGAATCTCGGCTGGGTCAGTTGGCATTTCTGTGTGGGGTTTGCATGTTGTCCCCGTGTTCGCGTGGGTTTGACCATAGTGAATGTGTGTGAATGAGTGTGTATGGGTGTTACCCAGTACTGTGTTGCAACATATGCTGGATAAGTTGATGGTTTATTCCACTGTGGCGTCACCTGATCAATAAAGATACTAACCCGAAGGAGAATGAATAATTAGTCAAACTTCTACTTTAAAATATATTTTGTATTATTTGATAAGTTTGGTTCTTTCGTACAATCCAAATGTGATACTACGTATCATTATGTTAACATAATATAATAGATCAGTGGTTCTCAAACTTTTTTCAGCAAGTACCACCTCAGAAAAAAAGAGTTTCTCCATGTACCACCATAATAATGACCAGTATGGAAATACAGAGCAGCGTATTAGGCCTAATTATCAGCTACAACTCTGCACAGTTCAAAAACATGGCAGATTAATTCCTATTGTTATGAATATTATTGTCAGCCACTTTTAACATTTTAATAATTTGAACATTACCTAAAACATAAAAAAAATGGCACTGTTCTTAAAGTAAACAGAAAACTGCTGTGCTTAAATGTAAAGTATACTATCATATAGTAGCCTATTTATCAAAACCTGGAAATGTTCCTTGGACCTCATAAATATCATCATATACATACACACATAAACTCTTTTTGATACATTTTTAAATATATGGTACATATATATGACTTATTTGCTTATCTTTAAAATCTAAACATTAACTTGTATTTTAAATATATGATTTAAATTTACATTTTTAAATTAGAAATTAGATCTGCTTACTGCATGTTAGAGTAGGCTTTGTGTGTCAGAAAAGTGATTAAACTATAGCTGTCAACATTGGGATATAATAATACGGAATACGCCCCAACAACCATTACAAATATGTGAAGGAAATTAGCTTCAAATGATATATTACATAACAAACATTAAAAATTGAAAATAAAAGGTTTAGCCTATTAAAATCAATTTACTGATCACATCTTTGCTATTGTATGCGTTAAAAGTGTGTTCATTTGTTTTACTTTAATTATTCAGCGATTCCTCCATGTACCACTAGAAAGAAGCCTACGTACCATTAGTAGTACACGTACCACAGTTTGAGAACCACTGTAATAGGTAATATTGTATTATAGGCTATATTATACGCTAGGATGTCCATGGTTAAAACTGAAATTGAGGAGTTAAGTTTTTAAGTATAAAGTATTAAGTTATTTTCATCGATTTTAACATTAAATAACTGAACATAAACATAAGAGGCAGAGAAAAATCATTGTCAGAGAAAATTTAAGATGTCACTCAGAGGTTTTTGCAACTGAACTCTTCAATTTTATTTTTAACCAAAGTTTTAACTCTTTAATTACTAACTAATTTTAAAATTATGAACTAAAATTGCTATTTTTTGTTGTTTTTAATACAAATAAAAGCTTTTAATATTTGAATACACTCAGAAAAGCACATTTATTATTGAAAATGAGCTGAAACAAAATTTCTAAAATAATATTTTAGAAAGTGAGTATCAAGAGCCAGACCTGTATTTAGACAGCCAGTCATAAACTGGGTAATGGCTTCATTATGTGGATGATGTGGTCGATGATCTTTGATGCGTGATATGATTGCACGTGTGCATAACCATTTATACGCAGTGATATGCACCTGTAAGTGAGTAATTTTCAGTTTACTGCACAACCTTTCACCTGGACTGTATAGCTGCACTATCAGATCTCAGCAAAGCCATCATATTTCACTTTATGCCATCAAAGCATTGGGATTCCTGATTTAGTTTAATGTTGAAGATCTTCGGGACAAACACTGAGACTGGTGTGGGAAAGACAGAAGGACCTTTTGATTGAATCAGCAGTGATTAATGCCATGATGCTCATTATCTTTGATTTATTTTTTCCTGAAAAGAATTCACTCATCAGATTAGGACTGAGTAATATCTCATCATTTGGATTATGGATTAGGTCACTGAACTACTGTATAATCAGCATTTAAGGATGTTTTACACTGTGGTTATGGTGCCAAATGGGCTGGTGTTTCAGAGACTGCTGATCTACTGGGCTTCCCATGCACAACCATCTCTAAGGTTGACATAGAATGATATGAAAAAGAGAAATGTTGAGGAAAATGGGTAAAATTCCCTGTTAAAGCCAAACAAGATCTACAGGAGACTCTAAACCCACAACATATTTAGCCTTGAAACAGATGAGCGACAGCAGCAGCAGCATTAAAAGAAAAAAAAACAGCTGAGAACAAAAATCTGAGAACAGGATGCATAAAACTGGATAATAGAAGAATAAAATAATACTTTACATTTATGCATCGCTTTTCTGGACACTTTACAGATTTGAGTGGGGGAGGTGGAACTTATCTTAATATTTGGATGATGATGTTACAATTTGGCACACTTTGATACCAACAGAACATGTTTTTACACCTCGTCCTTCCGAGTATTGATGTTGATCATGTCCATCTCTTCATGGCCACAGTGAACCCAGAACATCTAGCAGAATAATGTATAATGTGTGTGTGTAAAGTACAATTCATGTTTCTCAATACCAATAATGCAGAGACAGACTCGCTTTCTAATGGAGACTGGTCTTGTCAAGTTATCCCAGAAGAACAAACCCAGAGGAGTGCCAGAACACAGAACGCATCCTCTGAGAAAGGTTCCTGTTGGATACATTGCCTTAACAAATTCAACATAAAATCATTCACATACAGATTTATTGTTTGTTTGTTTTATTCTTCTCAATAAAACTATCTCATCATATTTTCGTCCACTTTTCCGGGGCCGGGTCGCAGGGGCAGCAGTCTTAGGAGAGAACCCCAGACTTTCCTCTCCCCACACATTTCCTTCAGCCCCTCCGAGGGGATCCTGAGGCTTTCCCAGGCCAGCCGAGAGACATACTCCTTCCAGCGTGTCCTGGGTCTTCCCCGAGGCCTCTTCCCGGTGGGACATTCCTGGAACACCTCCCTAGGTAGGTGTCCAGGAGGCATCCGAAACAGATGCCCGAGCTACCTCAGCTCACTTCCCTCGATGTGGAGGAGCAGCGGATCTACTCCGAGCTCCTCCCGCGTGACAGAGCTCCTCACCTTATCTATAAAGCTGCGCCTTGTCACCCTGCGAAGGAAACTCATTTCAGCCACTTGTATCCGAGATCATGTCCTTTCGGTCATGACCCAAAGCTCACGACCATAAGTGAGAGTAGGAATGTAGACTGACCTGTAAATCTAGAGCTTTGCCTTTCAGCTCAGCTCCTTCTTTACCACAACAAACTGATACATTACTGCTGCCACTGCACCAATCCGCTTGTCAATCTCACGTTCCATCTTTCCCTCACTCGTGAACAAAACCCCAAGATACTTGAACCCCTCCTCCTGGGGTGAGGACTTTCCTCCAACCTGAAGATGGCAAACCACCTTTTTACGGTGGAGGACCATGGCCTCGGACTTGGACTTCTCAGCTTTAATGTTATGGGACAGAGGAGATTATAGACAGAAAAGTATAAGGAGCAGAGATCAGCCAAGAATAAAACTCAGGTCACCACGTACACTGTAGTTTTTGAACAAGAGGACATGGTAAATGTCAATCTCAATGAGTAATTGAATCAGCCTCTGCATAAAGAGATCAGTTTAAGAAAATGTGGATTGAAAGCCTTGCAGTAACCAAACCTCTCATCCACAGAGAGAAACAAAAGACTAGACTGACCCTTGCTGAGAAACATGTTGTGTGCACAGAGAACTGGATCAAAATTTCCTTTCGTAATATAAGACAGTTTCAATTATTCAGCTCTGATTGAAAACAATAGCCCCTTTCACACGTAAAGACCTTTCCGGAAAATTATCGGAAATTTTCCGGAAAGGTGTTTATGTGTGAACAGGCCCCACACATATCATGTACATCTCGACATGCGAAAGTGTTTCTCTGTATGTTTTCATCAAAGTTGTTCACAATACTGATCCATACACAGAGTTTGTAATGTAGTCAAATGTTTACAAATACAAGCGCAGCCGTTAAGAGGTCATTTCAGGTTGATGATGTCAGAATTTACTGGTATTTTGGAATGGATGTGTGAACGGTCTTTTCCAGAAAATTTACGTGACGTCCTCGCCTGTGTGAACCTTTTTGAATCTACCGGTATCACTGTGTGAAAGGGGCTATTGTCAAACTAGAGGAAGACTGGACCTGAAGTGGGCAGAAATCAGTAAAGGTGGAGGTGAATGTGATGGTTTGGTGGTGTTTTCTTCAGCAGGAGTTCAGCCTCTTTTGCAGATGCATGAGAGGGTCAATTTTAATGTTTATCATGAACTCCTCTGCAACATGCGTTTCTTCCTTGCATTCATCATCCAATCTGAAAACAAGGGTCAAGCTGTTTTCTTGATGACCAACCAGAGTCCTGAACTAAACCTGATTGAAACTCTCTAGGAAAATCTCTGTAAAACGTTATTGAAAAG